TATAAAAATTGGAACTATCAGTTTCAGCCCGGGTTTCGAGACTTGAGAACAGGCTGCCGTAACCGTTAAGTACACCGGCTTGAGTTCCTCTAAAGTTGCCTCGCAGGATTGCTTGATATTTACTTCTTGAGGTGCATAGAAGGTTATCTTCGGATATCTTTTATTTCCTTGTGGATCCGTGTATGGACGCACGGGAATTGTAGGGGTGAAGGCCACTACATACTCAGTGTCAGGGTCACAAGTTTTTAAAGTCGGTATGTTTAATGCAGTTTGATTAACCTAAATAAAGAACAAACAGACAAAAAGAGAGTCAGGAAGTTGATCATCAAGTTATGAGCCATTTCCTGAACAAAAACATTATTCTCACCAATAAATTAAAAAAGCATGGAGATGGGGTATTTAAGAACTGACAAATGTAAATGAAATAAATCATGATTTAAGTGTTTAAGTACTCTTTATTAAATGCTTTCAGAGAGGGTAGAACATTATGTTCCCGAAGTATGGTTTGTATGGTGATCGTATGATTCAAAGGTTCGCCAAATTACACGAAACCGTAGTTTTTGAACTTTGTTTTTTTAATTAATAGTCGGCCCTTACCGTTTAATGCCTCACTCCATTTTGGGAGCTGCATCTCAGGCTAGTTTTAGTAATCATTACATTTTTTGTCTTGTTTGACTTTGTTTGTGAAGTTATTTTACTTGCGGTGATGTGTAAAATATGGCCCTCGACGTAACTTATACGTCACCGACTTAACAACCAAGGTCAAACTTCAAATATAAAAATCCAATGAAACTCCAATCTGAACATGTTGCAAGTATAATAACTAATTAATAGTAACATTACATACCTGTAGTCCTACAAAGAATGGCGTTCGAGTGTATTTTGGGGTTGACCAGACATTTTTAGGGGATGTAGTAAACTTTGCAGAGATATTGCAGGATATCTAGGGAAAAAATAATAAGAAGAATTATTATTATCATTCGATGCAAATTTTCTTCCTTTTCATTGGCCAAGAGTTCATAAGAGGCGAAGTTAATCGGCAACTTCGTCTCGGGGATTATTCAACACTATTAACTGAGCCTGAGGTGAATAATTGTTTTAGTCTATATACACACGAAGTGATCTCAACAGAATCAGAAAGGAAACCATGAAAAAAAAAAAAAAACGATTTGTTCGATTCGCGGGTGAATTCATGCGTGGACATGTAGCCGTAAACAGCAGATGCACAACAGCTGGATCTTTACAGTATTTTCAAACATGGCAAATCATAGTTTTAATTTTTTGTAAGCTTTAGCATCAATGATTGAAAAGAAAACGTTGAAAGTTTAAATAACCCCCCTTTCTGAGAAGAAAGACATGGCAGTTTATTTGCTTCTGTCAACTCTCCGTGAATGAGACAGTGTTTTTGTCGCTTCTTGCAAATGCTGTCAACAGCAGTTATGATCGAGGTGAGCGTTGTTTAACTGCAGTGCAGTGTTCCTTGCCATGTTAACTTGCTGGCACGAACAGTTTTCGAAAATATTTGCTTTCCTTTTTTCTCCATAAATTAACTTCTATTTCCAGGCAAAACTGGTCTTGCGAGGAAATCCCGAGTTCACAAAACAGTGACAAAGCGACCTCCTTTTCCTCTTTAGTGGTCAATGAAAACATTGCTTCGACCGTATATAGGTCAACTACAGTAAATCACTTCGCAATAAAATCACGCTGTTTAAACACCATGAAGTCTTTTCTTACCTTCAAAATCATCAACTCTGGGATATACCATACCTACGATGCGCTTATAACCACGTTTATTAGAAAAAAATTCACGGCTTTGATTTTGAGCTTTTATTTCGAGCATGCGCTCTTTCATCGCCTGTCACATTCCTGACAGGCAATAGACTAACGTGTACAAATCGGATTTGACCAGATCTAGCCCTCGGCTTCGTCGACAAGAGATTTGGGTATGAGATTAGCCTGGGTACGAAGTGAAGCAACACAACATCACCATAGATGCCCTTGGGGCTTGGTAACGGTAGATGGACACCACAATACGAAATTGAGGGGAGCAGAAGTAAAGAGTTGCTGAAAAGAATGCGGAAGGCGATGCTGTAGGGCACACATAACAGCACGGACATTTAAAGTTGTGAATTGGGAAATGATTGAGTGGTATTTATTAGTTAAATCGTTTGAGAAAAAAATATAGTTCAATCGATTTAAAAAAACTCCAAATTCAAATGTGTTTATAAGACTTCTAAAAAGTGTTGCAAGTCTTAAAATTCGTTATCTAAAATTATGGTTTCCACGCGGTGGATTTCGGATTCCAGGTACTGGATTCTGGTTCTTGTCAGTGGAACTTGGATCCCAGATTCCAATCCTCAGGGGATTCCGGATTTCTTTAAGCTATGTTCCGGAATCCTCTAGCAACAATTTCCTCGACTCAGGATTCCATAAGCTAAAACTTACCGGATACCGGAAACCGGAGTAAATAAATGTTATGCAAGCTCTCCTGAACAGCATCCCCGGTGCCCCGTACCGAAGCTGGCCGTTTGCAAGAACGGTTCTCATAAGTGGCCACTAGAGATACAAGGATTGAGTGGTCACTTACGGGAGCTTGCTCGGCCACAAATAAACTTTGGAAATGCAAAAACAAAATGTGTGTTTGTAATGGCGGCCATACTGTTGATCTGACAATGTTGTAATTCAGTCATAAACATAAAATTAAAGAGGTATTTTGAAGACTACTGGAAGTGTGTGTAAAGAAAAAAAAAACAAACAAACAAAACAAACACTGAAACGCATTGTGACCAATAAAAATATGACGTTGACTTTTAAAAAGATAAGATTCAGAGATGAATGAGATTTCGTTTCAGGTGTTCTCTTACGGGAGATTAAAAACAAAGAAAACCATGAAAGTGTCCGCGGCCGCCTAAGAGAATTGTCCGCTTAGGGAATTTAAAAGCACAGAGTTTTTGTGGGAGTTTAAACGTGGTTTTGTGAAGGCGTCCGAGTGTAGAACTGTCCTCATACGAGAGTGTCCGTTGGGAGGGCCTCCACTGTACACAATCCTCCAAAGAAACACACATTGCACCCTTCTCCCAGTTACTATAATACTAACACGAGCCGCCTTTCCTCTTCAACACAGAAATCGCCCAGGTTAGAAAAGGTACTAGGAATTTAAAGAGTTCAAATTATATGAAATGGTAGGGAAATCTGCCATTCAGGTATTTATTAAAATACGACTTGTAATGAAAAGAAGACTTGGAAGGTACGTGAAAGGGGTCCTTTTATTTGTCAAAAGTGTTACATTACATATAAACGTAGGCAAAGGGTTGGACCTCATGGTGGATCCTGCCAGTATAAAACGTTGGTCATTAACCCATCGGGGCTTACGTCTCTTTACATCTCTTCATCACTTTATCAATCTATGATTTCTACTGTTACTAGTATGCAGATGGTAAAAATTCGATTAATAATTTACACGGTTTTTCTCAATTTTTGTTTTAATCGCGATGTTTATGATTGAATATCCTGATTTGTGTACCGTCTAAAAAACGAGCACGTTCGTATTATCAACTGAAGTTTAAGAACTGGAGGCGAAGCCGAGAGTTTTTATATCTGATAACACACGACTGCGAGTGTTTTGAACGGCTTAAAAATCTACTTAGATTTGGGATTATTTTGGTCAAAGAAATTGGACGTAAACGTAATTTCTTTTGTTTTTCTTTATGAATTATTAATGAGTCTGAATTTCTTATAAGAACTGAGAACTTTTTCTAGTCTAGTCAAATCTGTTTAAAACGACAAAAAACGTACATTAATCTTATCAAATTCGATTTTTCGGTCACATTTACCGCAGGAAAATTAAATGCAGATCAGCTCAATCTTAGAACCAGTACAACTTACTCCAGAAAAATGGATTGACTGCGCTGCTCAGAAGCGTGTTTCCATGATTACCTTCTATTATATAATCGTTAGTAACAACTGCCATTTCGACTGACAGCAGCTTACTTACTTGCTTACTTACCGTTTGACCAATTTTGTACATGTCTCCTTCAAGTTTGAACGAAATATAATCTTCTCGAGGACAAGAAGCACCACCACCAGGGCATCGTTCGTCATGCCTTAATGTCGCACCGTTTGCAAACCATTGAACCAGATACGTTACATTCGCCCATGTCCCAATGCCATGAAAAAGTTGTGCTTTGCAAATTAAGGGCACAGAGGGTGACTCCTGGACGTCTATGTAAGTGATCTTTGGATCGCCAATGTAGTCACTTGAAAACTCTTTCGGTGGGTCTATATTAGGCAAACGGAGAGGAAACTGTACATAAAAAAACGAAATGAATTCTTGTCTTAGTAGTAAAAAGATGTGTCTTTGTGCATTTAATTTGTACATTTTGCAATTGTCTTGTTCACCAACAGTTCAGTGAAGTCCAGCAGTATGCAACCTGGGAGTCATTACGTGATCAGTGAACGAGACAGACAATTTGACAAAGGAAAGTTTTACTTACACGAACAGCAGTTACTTAAACATCTCAGGGGCGTATAGCGTCCTTTACACAAATACACACGTGCGTACTTGAGAAATTGGTAGGAATTTTTTAAAGATTTTCTGTTATAGTAAAAGCCATTTGTAGTGTCGTGACTTGTATTGTGCAGATTTGTTCCTGTCTGTCTCGCTGTTTTACCGCATCGTTTTTACAATAAAAATACAGCAGTTTGAGTAGTGGAATGCGATAAATTTAAAACATTCTTGAAATGTTTGCCTTCAGGTGATCTCACAATAAATTGCGTTTTCATGAAAAACGAAAGAGGACTGGAGAAATTCATGCGAGCACATTTGTCGCCACAAATAATAAACCCTGACTGATTAGCATTCCTTTCAAGATTTAAATGGAAAGTTTTCCCATTCAAAAGCTATTGATTTTTTTTTAATTTTCTCTTTCTCTATAAATGTCGAAAAAGTCTAAATAAAGACTGCCTTAGTACCTCTCAACTGGGAAATCATGGAACAGGCCAAGCCGACGATGACGGCGCGGTATCAACAAGAATTTTGCATGCAGGAAATTTACTCCTGGCGAACAGATGTAGTATTATTTTCAATGACAAACATTAGAGATATTCAGAACAACTGGAAATAAAAAAATGCCGACTATAAAAATAGTTTCCTTTCCCGTACTTATCATCGAAATAAGGGAAAACTTCAAAAGTCAGCAAAGGACTAAGTGTGAGGAAAATTTACTCAAACACGCACACGCCGCAATGCAATTCTTCCAACCAATGCTTTTAAACTCCAAACTTCTGCACAAAAAGGCACGTATTTTTCTTGAGCGACAAGCAAAATAAATAAATAAATAAAAGCGACAGTAAACCCTATCTTTCATTTAAATGTTTTGCTAAATTTTCTTTTAGCATTTGAAAGAAACATCTTATTTGAATTTCTTGTGAATTATTCAGCGCTCTGGAAGTTTTATAAAATTAGGGAAGGCTCCTCGCCTTGTGCTTGTAAACATTCCAGTACCAGCTCAAAGAAGAACGTTCTAAAAGCCTTTTTAATAAAATTATTACGTTCTATTGTAAACAAGCCTTTAAACGGCCGAAATACGTATTAAAGGAAAGCAAAAACGTTATTTTGTATGAAGTTGTGACCATATGTACCCGGGTGCGTACTTACCAAAGTGGTCACGCTACACCCCTTCATCTTCACTCAAACGTGATCGAACACGAACCCGAGAGGATTTTGTGTTTCTGGTTGGACTCTAAAGAAAATCAGGTGCCCTTTCCACTAATTATTATAGACAGTGCTCTGATTTCAACTTTTTTTCCATAAGGACTACTTAGTACAGTTTGTGGAATATTGTTAATAAAGGGTTTCTAATAACGAAAATGACTGTCCAACTGTCGGAATCGAAGCACGGGTCATTTCGAGGCTAATTAATATTTGAAACATAAGTTAGGGTGATCGCGTTATGAAGAAAGTGAATAATAAACAGTGAATCATGCAAACGCCTATCTCAATTTAATGATAACAATAATAATAATAATAATAATAATAATAATAATAACAATAATAATGGCGTATTAACAGATCCACTGGGTGGCTCTTCCCTGTTAAAGTACATTAATTACAATTAAAAATAAATCAAATTAGTATAGGTAATCACATGATTTCTCGTGCAATAATTTGGAATAAATAAGCACGAGTAAATTTTTCAAAGACCAACAAAAGTGCACGAGCCCGTAGGGCGAGTGCACTTTGTGGTCTTTGAAAAATTTACAAGTATCCTCTTCAACACAGAAATCGCCCAGGTTAGAAAAGGTACTAGGAATTTAAAGAGTTCAAATTATATGAAATGGTAGGGAAATCTGCCATTCAGGTATTTATTAAAAAACGACTTGTAGTGAAAAGAAGACTTGGAAGGTACGTGAAAGGGGTCCTTTTATTTGTCAAAAGTGTTACATTACATATAAACGTAGGCAAAGGGTTGGACCTCATGGTGGATCCTGCCCGTATAAAACGTTGGTCATTAACCCGTCGGGGCTTACGTCTCTTTACGTCTCTTCAGCACTTTATCAATCTATGATTTCTACTGTTACTAGTATGCATATGGTAAAAATTCGATTAATAATTTACACGGTTTTTCTCAATTCTTGTTTTAATCGCGATGTTTATGATTGAATATCCTGATTTGTGTACCGTCTAAAAAACGAGCATGTTTGTATTATCAACTGAAGTTTAAGAACTGGAGGCGAGGCCGAGAGTTTTTACACCTGATAATACACGACTGCGAGTGTTTTGAACGGCTAAAAAATCAACTTAGATTTGGGATTATTTTGGTCAAAGAAATTGGACGTAAACGTAATTTCTTTTGTTTTTCTTTATGAATTAATAATGAGTCTGAATTTCTTATAAGAACTGAGAACTTTTTCTAGTTTAGTCAAATCTGTTTAAAAAGACCAAAAACGTACATTAATCTTATCAAATTCGATTTTTCGGTCACATTTACCGGCAGGAAAATTAAATGCAGATCAGCTCAATCTTAGAACCAGTGCAACTTACTCCAGAAAAATGGATTGATTGCGCTGCTCAGAAGCGTGTTTCCATGATTATCTTCTATTATGTAATCGTTAGTAACAACTGCCATTTCGACTGACAGCAGCTTACTTACTTGCTTACTTACCGTTTGACCAATTTTGTACATGTCTCCTTCAAGTTTGAACTTAATATAATCTTCTCGAGGACAAGAAGCACCACCGCCAGGGCATCGTTCGTCATGCCATAATGGCGCACCGTTTGCAAACCATTGAACCAGATACGTTACATTCGCCCATGTCCCAATGCCATGAAAAAGTTGTGCTTTGCAAATTAAGGGCACAGAGGGTGACTTCTGGACGTCTATGTAAGTGATCGTTGGATCGCCAATGTAGTCACTTGAAAACTCTTTCGGTGGGTCTATATTAGGCAAACGGAGAGGAAACTGTACATACAAAAACGAAATGAATTCTTGTCTTAGTAGTAAAAAGATGTGTCTTTGTGCATTTGTACATTTTGCAATTGTCAACAGTTCAGTGAAGTCCAGCAGTATGCGACCTGAGAGTCATTACGTGATCAGCGAACGACACAGACAATTTGACAAAGGAAAGTTTTACTTACACGAACAGCAGTTACTTAAACATCTCAGGGACGTATAGCGTCCTTTACACAAATACACACGTGCGTACTTGAGAAATTGGTAGGAATTTTTTAAAGATTTTTTGTTATAGTAAAAGCCATTTGTAGTGTTGTGACTTGTATTGTGCAGATTTGTTCCTGTCTGTCTCGCTGTTTTACCGCATCGTTTTTACAATAAAAATACAGCAGTTTGAGTAGTGGAATGTGATAGATTTAAAACATTCTTGAAATGTTTGCCTTCAGGTGATCTCACAATAAATTGCGTTTTCATGAAAAACGAGAGGGGACTGGGGAAATTCATGCGAACACATTTGTCGCCACAAATAATAAACCCTGACTGATTAGCATTCCTTTCAAGATTTAAATGGAAAGTTTTCCCATTCAAAAGCTATTGATTTTTTTTAATTTTCTCTTTCTCTATAAATGTCGACAAAGTCTGAATAAAGGCTGCCTTAATGCGGCTCAACTGGGAAATCATGGAACAGGCCAAGCCGACGATGATGGCGCGGTATCAACAAGAATTTTGCATGCAGGAAATTTGCTCCTGGCGAACAGATAGAGTATTATTTTCAATGACAAACATTAGAGAAATTCAGAACAACTGGAAATAAATAAATGCCGACTTTAAAAATTGTTTGTTCCTTTCCCGTACTCATGATCGAAATAATGGAAAACTTCAAAAGTCAGCAAAGGACTAAGCGTACGGAAAATTTACTCAAACACGCACACGCCGAAATTCAATTCTTCCAACCAATGCTTTTAAACTCCAAACTTCTGCACAAAAAGGTACGCATTTTTCTTGAGCGACAAGCAAAATAAATAAATAAATAAATAAAAGCGACAGTAAAGCTAATCTTTCATTTAAATGTTTTGCTAAATTTTCGTTTAGCATTTGAAAGAAACATCTTATTTGAATTTCTTGTGAATTATTCACCGCTCTGGAAGTTTATTAAATTAGGGAAGGCTCCTCGCCTTGTGCTTGTAAACATTCCAGTACCAGCTCAAAGAAGAACGTTCTAAAATCCTTTTTAATAAAATTATCACGTTCTATTGTAAACAAGCCTTTAAACTGCCGAAATACGTATTAAAGGAAAGCAAAAACGTTATTTTGTATGAAGTTGAGACCATATGGACCCGGGTGCGTACTTACCAAAGTGGTCACGCTACGCCCCTGCATCTTCACTCAAACGTAATCGAACACGAACCCGCGAGGATTTTGTGTTTCTGGTTGGACTCTAAAGAAAATCAGTTGCCCTTTCCACTAGTTATTAAAGACAGTGCTCTGATTTCAACTTTTTTTTTCATGAGGACTAGTTAGTACAGTTTGTGGAATATTGTTAATAAAGGGTTTCTAATAATGAAAATGACTGTCCAACTGTCGGAATTGAAGCACGCGTCGTCTCGAGGCTAGTTAATATTGGAACCATAAGTTAGGGTGATCGGGTTATGAAGAAAGTGAATAATAAACAATGAATCATGCAAACGCCTATCAATAATAATGGCTTATTAACAGATCCACAGGGTGGCTCTTCCCTGTTAAAGTACATTAATTACAATTAAAAATATATCAAATTAAGTAATTTACAAATTATGCAATATACAATTAAAAGTAGAAGCAGGATTAACAGAATCGAAATTACAGTAAAACTAACTAACCACTCTGTACTCTGTTATAATGAAAAAATACCTTGAAAGTCTAGATCTTAAAAAAGTTCTGTAATCTTTACAGTTTTTAATGAGTTTCTGGTAGATTGTTAAATAGCTTCGACGCATTATCTTGGAATGTGCCGTTTTCAGTCCATTTTCGTTTCGCTTTGTAAATAACATTCCGGCGGGCATGGCGAAACGAAAAAGAGAGCCTGATACAAACCTTCTGCGAAACGTCTGCCGCCCACTTTTTTGATTGATTGACATTTGCCGAATCAGCCAACCAAAATTACTTCCGTTGCTTGTTTTTCTAGTATGCAAATTTTTCACGCGTGGGAAATATGCAGACTGGCTGACTTAAAAAAATAGCTTTTATCTGTTATTTTTTTCGTTGCCTTAATATTTTCCTCGGCATTTTCCCCGATTTTCAGTACATAAATCTTTAAAAACAAAAGCAAACAGCCAACGAGCGAGGACACCAGTTTTCCTGGTTTATTTTCTACAAAAAGCGAAGGCAAACAACCAGTCTGTTAACACTGAAAATTCCTTGAACAACGATGCGATATTTTTCGTCTAATACTTCACAGTTGGCGATTGAGGTTTCTTTCGCAGTGAGCCTCCGCTTGCGTACCCCGTTCAGAGAAGTCATTCCCGGCTAAACTTTCAAATGAAACCTGTTTTAAGATGGACAGTATTTTGGTTTGCACCCGTTTGTTGGTAAATCAAAAGGCACCTTGTTAGCGGTCAACAACTTGCAGAGGGATTCAACTCCGCGATACACTCACTTTCCGTAAATAAAGCAAATCCTGAGAAGATATTAACAACCATATTCTGAATTTCCATGCCACAGATTAAGGCATATTTTCCTACCATAAGACCATAAAACAATAAAAAAGACAGCAAAATCGATCCTTCTCTCCGCCGACGACGGAACATTCACGAAAACAACCACGCGAGGAATAAGCGCTTTCAACTTCCGGCGTTTCCAACAGCCAATCAGATCTTGTGGCATTGTTCTAACAGCCAATCAGTGTTACGGCCAAAATCAAACGAGCACAAACTTGAATGAGTTTGGATCAGGCCCAATTTTAGCGGTAGCCGTTAGAGAGAATGTATGAGAACCGCTCAAATTGGGCCTGATCTCAGGTTAGTCGGGACTTGACTAATTTAATTGAAGTGCTTGAGCGCAGTTCCTTGCGGTATTCCTGTTTTATTATTTTAAGATAATCTGGCCAAGTCTCAGTGTTATGCAAAGCTTTAAAGCATGATTTCAGGAGGTTCAAATCTCTTTTCTCATTGATTGGAAGCCATCCGATCTTAAGTAGATCCCGAAAGTTCTTGACATAGTGACCGAGTACAAAAACTTGCGGCGGCAAATTGAACCCGTTGCAAACGGCAAAGTAAGAATTGTGGTAGAAAGTAAAAGACCAGATAGGCATAATCTAGTTTTGACAAAATCAATGTTTCTGCTAGTTGCTTTCTAAGCTCATATTTGGCGATATATTTCAGTTTTCTTAGTATTGATAGAGTGGCGTAGAATCCAGCTACCGTGTGCTTGATGTGATCATCCAACTTAAGATGTTCATTGATGTGATTCAAGTTTAGCTTATGAAAGGCATTAAAAACACGGCTTGGCAGTGCGTAAACGATTTCTGTAGCCAGTGAACAAAAGATACGCCATGATGATTACTTATACTCTTAAACAGTTTTGCATAAGGGAATATTACTTCTAAATAACGGCACATTGAATGCACTCTCACTTTCGTACCTTCATATACAATCCGTGAGTTTTATGACTTTCTTACCTAGCTTTCAGTTTCACTCATGATCAGTTATGGTATCTCTTAAAAGGTTGTTCCATAAAGTAGTCATAAAGTAGCTTGAGAGCAAACCTCCTTTGAAAGGGTTTTGAACCACCCCTTCTGTTCGTGCCCAAGCTATTTTACGAAACGGCGGGGCATGACGGGTCTTACACATTTCAACATGTTCAAAGGCAAGCGATAATGGTGCATTCCCACTGTAAAATGAAAAGAGCCAATTTGGCCCCAAAAATGGGGCCGAAACGGGTGAGTCCAGAATGGTACTGTTTTTGGGGCCAATTCAGCCCCACTGAGATGGGGCTGTTTTGGTACCAAAATTTGGGGCTAAATTGACCCCTTGCATCGGGGCCAAATTAGACCATGTAAAGGGTCAATATGCAAATGAGCATTCAAATTTTGATCTTAGGGTTGAAAGGGTTTTAAATTTCTCTATTTTTAATGCATTTATTTTGCACTTATTTATCAGACAAGAGAAATAATGCATTGGTAAGGTAAACCTTACTTAAAACAAAACAAGTACTGAAATCTACAGTGTAAATGTAAAACCAGACCACACCATCCTTACCATCTTCTTTAGTTGAAATGGCTTTAAGGTTTTTTCATTAGATATTTTCATCATTCTCCCTGTTTTAAATAGGGGACAGTGAGGGGATGGCAGAAGTGCTTTTTAACTCCTCCACTGGCTTAACTACAGAATACAGGGTCACTTATTTCCTTATCATTAGATAATAAAATTAAAAGCATCTAATGACCCGTTCTTCAAAGCGTTCCAACAAAGTGGACTTGAGTGACCCTGAATTCTGTTTCATCAAACGTGGTTAAAATAGCTCAGTCTTTTGCATTTGGTAGAAAGAGAGCGAATCAGGGCGGCTTACCTGGTCTTACTATCGGCTTTTTCCAGCAAAGTCTTGATTCTTGGAGAGCCTTTGTTATTATTATAATTTTGTGCAGTTCATCTTGAAAACCGTTGCGCCTCACGAGGCTTCTGTCTCCGATTCTTCACGACGAACTTCAAGAGCGAAGTGATGGATCAACGACGGCTCATAGTTCGAAAATAATTAGTAACAACACCTTGAATGTCCTTTGATGCTGTCGAAAAGTATAATACAAGACTCCTGATCCCCAAAGAAACTGGCATGTTCGCAACCGTTGCAGTACTTTCAAATGGACGCCAAAAGGACGACACCAAAGAGCATGTGCATAGGGACAGCCCGCTGACCAGTTGTGTATTGTTTCCAAAATATGTTTTCGATTGTTTACATGTCGTGTCATTTTGAGCCTGTGGCAGGCGTTCGAAATTTTAAAAACCTTTTACTTATGAATCAGAAAATATATGTACGTGATGGCTGGGTCTTTGTTTGCTATCAATACCGAGGGATATTGTACTGTAACGCCCTCCCAGCGTTTAGTTTGCGTGACGCATCATGTAATGTTATCGATATTGAAATCACGTGCAGAACATTCGAGAGCGTGATTGTAGCTTTGTTTCCGATTTGCACCTTCGCTCGAGGCAAAGGTTCGCTCGAAACCATGATTTACCTTACAGTCTCTGACTGTCGTCACGGTTTTAGGTCTACGTTAAAGTTATCTTAGTTCCTTACTCGACTAAACGGACCGTACTTTGGATTGTGTCAGACGTGACTATGGTTACTTCAACCGAACACCGCGGTCTCCTTGCGCCCCTTTTGACGGCAAAAGGCGGTCACTCCGAGTAGACCTTGTTGGGGCCAAATCGGAATTTTAATTTGGCTATCGGAAGGGCCAAATTGAGAGGAAGTGCCAAAGTAGCTTTTAGTGTAGCCGATTCAGAAATTAGATGGGCCGAATTGGTACCATCTAGAACTGTTTTGACTCTTTCTGTCCAAAACGGCCCAGCATGTTCCAAATCGGCCCTCGAGAAATTGGGGCCGATTTGGCCTTTGGGGTCGATTTGGCTCTTTTCATTTTACAGTGTGGTTAAGGCCACCAGTTTTTTTTTTTCTCTGTCAGGAGCAAGTGAGATCAGTACCTACAAAGTTGCATGGCAACTCACCGTAGCAATCAGGGGGCTCGCCCTCCTTTCCGTATGGGCATGGCTCCTTGAATCCTGCATGATAAAAATTAATTATTAGTAAGATCTTGTGAAATTAATACATGTCTCAAAAGATGTGCAAACTGCTTTCTTACCAGCACAATACGCGGCTGCACAATAGTAGAGAGGCTTAAGGTAGTATACATAATAACCTCCACAGTTTTTGACGTTTATATCGAAATGGTCATAGCATCCGTTATCCAGTCCAAAGCTATTGATGCAGACCGTGCGAGCCACATTTCCTTCTGCCACAGTGGGATGTTCTCCATTTAACCATATTGGATCATGAGTACCACAATGACCTTCTTGCACAACGCTTTGTGGCATTTTAGAGCCACCGAAACTTGTAAAGCGATACCAACCATATCTAATATTCATGTCGCACAACACAATTTGTCCACTCTGCCAAACGCTTTTCGTACTGCGACGGGGTTCACTGATGTTCTGGTGATCATAGCAACAGTTATTGCACACTGCTGTCTGGCAGACGGCTAATTTTAAACACACGAAAAGTAATAGGCAAGACAAAAAAGCTGACCGATTACAGCGATTAACGTTCATTTTGGTCAGTCGTTTAGCACTAAGAGCTAAAGCAGTCTGTAGTCAGTCACTGTTGGTTTCGCGAGTGCAAGATCACTTTAAAAATTGGATAATTATATTAAGAGAACAAAAAAGATGTATACAAAAGAACGACGTTAATAAACATGATTGGACTGCGTTCCCTGTCGCCAGGGCTAGAACGAGTTCATGACCTTCACGCTGGGCACTGTCTACGACTTCCTGTTTTTACCTTAATTCTCAGTACAAAGCTATCTATATCTATTTGTAGACTTTGGCGTTGCATAACTGCTTTCAGTTCTACCGATTAAGAATCAACGGGTCAAAAGCCTCTAAAATTGATACAGCGTAGGGTATGTTCTAAAAAAGGAACGTTGTTAAGGTTATAAAAATTTGAGTTAATACTTGACAGCTATATTAGAATTCTTACGTTGCATTTTAATACACTGTGCTGATGTTTGAATGGACGTATACTGCTTATAACTAAAGTGTGTAGTAAACAAGGAAATAAAATGGTTAATTGTCACCAAGACCGGCCATTAATACATCTATACAAGTAGACTGAAGTACATTTAAAACTGAATTAAAAGACACCTAGATTTTTTCATTGAATTGATACACTTGGCTAAACAACGCAGACAAGACAAAGAGAAAACACAATTCCCGTACCCACTAATTTCCCTCCCTACCAACAATTGAAATATACGTTTTTATTATATAGACACGAGTGTTTTACTGGAAAATATACCACTCGTAAAATTCATAAAAACTACATCCGGGACCCGAGTGGTTTATTTTCCATAATCTCACACGTGAGTTTATCGATGACGTAATTTCGTTAACTTCCCTCCAAAATTTGTAGGCGTTTTGCGTCCTTTGAATTTTAATCACACATTTTTCAAACCTTTGCTAATTTTTTGCCATTGTAGAGCCCTACTCAGCTCAGTGTTATTTCTCAAGATTATTCTAAACAATGTCAGTCTTATATTGCTGTACTGTAAATTTGAGCCGTGACAATTACTTTTTGGCGAATAAAAATCTATTATTTTATCGATGCCTTTTTGTCTATATAATAAAAAGCACATTACACGGCAGCTTGAAGATATGAATTTTATTTTCTCATGGCTAAAACATTATTTTACTCACTTGCTGCGCTCGTTCGTAAAATATTGTTTTGCCACTCGAAAATAAAATTCATATCTTCGCGCCACCGTGTAATATCCTCTATATAATAGTGCTTGTCCGCAGTACGTGAGTGCATATTTCCAAGTTAAAAATAAATACCAGTTATGTTACAGTGTGTTTAATTTAACCCACTGTGATTCAAAGGTATATTGGCCATAGAGTTTCATACTGCTTCCCTACTCGCTTGTCTGATCTTATGCATAGGTGAAAGTGCATTCCTTACTTTGTAATTTTGTTTCGGTCAGGATTTGACCAGTCACATTTTGGTTCTGCTACAAGGCCTCACCCGATTTAATTGAAAGTCCAGAAACATTATAAAACCAATTATATGAGCATTGAGTCCATTAAAAGAGCTGTGTCACGAAATTCAGCCAAATTGGGAAATTACAAAATGCCCATTAAATTAAGAGAAACAAAAAAATAACCGCTTAAAACTTTAAAACAAGGTTAAAATAACATAACAGAAACAACAGATGCCACGGATGGGCAAAACTGAAGAAGACTGAAACGAATTGAAATTAGGATTTTTGAAAACTGTTCAGCCTAACAGTTTTCAAAGTTGATTCCTGCTGCTTGCAACTTCAAAAATAATGCTCAGGAGATATATTTGTTTGTCTCGGATCTCTGATTTTGTCATTTACATGTAATTTCTTTGCTTATTTAAATTCCATAGCGATTGAGGGCGAATAATTGGCAAAATTAAACAAAATGAATTGGAATGCCGTGACACAGCCCCTTTAAGTCCCTACACATTGAAATCCACTGAGAATGGGTGTCTGCACTGGGAGTTGAAAATTTTGAAATAAATTGTTTGCAGAGGCTGTAAACACTGAAATAACTTGGATGCAACCTAATAAAAAATGTCTGCATGTGAAATTTCAC